TTGCTTGCCTCGAAGCGAGCATAGAAGTGGTTTAGCTCGTCTGGTAGGCTTGTGTCACTGGGAAGCTCGCGGCTGTGCTTCCCTTTGTAGTCTGTAATAGTTTTCAAGCCCTAAAACATCCGACGAGCGTCAGAGCTGGTGTAGTACAAGTACTATACTGAACAAAAAATATAAACGCAACATGCAACAATTTCAAAGATTGTACTGAGTTATAGTTCATATAAGGAAATCAGTTTATTGAAATAAATAAATGAGGCCCAAATCTATGGATTTCATAACTGGGCAAGGGCGCAGCCATGGGTGGGCCTAGTCCCACCCACTGGGGAGCCAGGCCCAGCCTCAGCACCCCCTCAGACGATCCCGGAGGTGAAGAAGCCAGATGTGGAGGTCCTGGGCTGGCGTGGTTACACGTGGTCTGCGGTTGTGAGGCCGGTTGGACGCACTGCCAAATTCTCTAAAACGGCTTATGGTAGAGAAATAAACATTCAATTATCTGGTAACAGCTCTGGTGGACATTCCTGCAGTCAGCATGCCAATTGCACGCTCCCTCGAAACTTGAGACATCTGTGGTATTGTGTTGTGTGACAAAACTGCACATTTAAAGTGGCCTTTTATTTTCCCCAGCACAAGGTGCACCTGTGTAATGATCATGCTGTTTAATCAGCTTCTTGATATGCCACACCTGTCAGGTGGATGGATTATCTTGGCAAAGGAGAAATGCTCACTAACAGGGATGTAAACGAATTTGTGCTCAACATTTGAGAGAAATAAGCTTTTTGTGCACATGGAACATTTATGGGATCTTTTATTTCAGCTCATGAAACATGGGACCAACACATTACATGTTGCGTTTATATTTTTGTTCAGTATATCTCGATTTCGCCTATCAGATAGGATTAAAGGCATAGAAATAGAATGAATCGAACGGGTGTCCCCATTCAAGTCAATTATTTGTCCGTTCTATTCATTATTTTTTTATGCATTTAGTCCTCTCTGATAGGCGAAATCCAGATAGACATAACTTTTGAAAAACTGGGCCAAAACACGACTGACACTAGTCAACCAAAATGGTTGCAACCATCACACTGAATACCTTGTCACTCCAAACCAAGCAGCTGAGAAGAAGCCATTGTGAGGCTTTGAAGTCGGCATTAGTGGCACTTTTTGGTAGATTGCTATATGACAATCAAAATCAGTCTACACCTACCCAAGTGATGTTTGTTTCAATTAATTAATGTATTATCAACATTTTTATAATGAAACAAGTTGATAATTTATTATTCAAATCAAATCAAAGTTTATTGGTCACGTACAATACACAGATTTGCAGATGTTATCGCAGGTGCAGCGAATTGCTTGTGTTTCTAGCTCCAACAGTGCAGTAATACCTAGCAATACAAAACAATACACACATAATCCAAAAAGTAAAAAGAAAGAAATTAAGAAATATTAGAAAGAAATTAAGTTGATGCTACAACTGCTAAAACAACATCAGACCCCTACTTTTGCTAAAGTGTGTTTTTAAGTTGTAGTGGGACACTATTTTCTCATTAGAAATACATTAGTGACTTTGTAGAGACCTTAAAATAACACACTCTCTGTTTTCACAATTTTGTTACAATAACCTTGTACTACTAGATCCTCTCCATAACTTGGAAAATGTATTTAAAATGTATCGATACACAATACCCCATAATGACAAAGCGAAAAGCTTTTTTACATAAGTATTCAGACCCTTTGCTATGAGACTCGAAAATGAGTTCAGGTGAATCCTGTTTCCATTGATCATCCTTGAGATGTTTCTACAACTTGATTAGAGTCCACCTGTGGTAAATTCAATTGATTGGACATGATTTGGAAAGGCACACACCTGTCTATATAAGGTCCCACAGTTGACAGTGCATGTCAGAGCAAAAACAAAGCCATGAGGTCGAAGGAATTGTCTGTGGAGCTCTGAGACAGGAGTGTGTCAAGGCACAGATCTGGGGAAGGGTACCAAAACATTTCTACAGCATTGAATGTCCCCAAGAACACAGTGGCCTCCATCATTCTTAAATGGAAGAAAGTTTGGAACCACCAAGACTCTTTCTAGAGCAGGCCGCCCGGCCAAACTGAGCAATCAGGGTAGAAGGGTCTTGGTCAGGGAGGTGACCAAGAACCCGATGGTCACTCTGACAGAGCTCCAGAGTTCCTCTGTGGAGATGGGAGAACCTTCCAGAAGGACAACCATCTCTAGAGCACTCCACCAATTAGGCCTTTATGGTAGAGTGGCCAGACGGAAGCCACTCCTCAGTATAAGGCACATGACAGCCCACTTGGAGTTTGCCAAAAGGCACCTAAAGGACTCTCAGACCATGAGAAACAAGATTCTCTGGTCTGATGAAACCAAGATTGAACTCTTTGGCCTGAATGCCAAGCGTCACGTCTGGAGGAAACCAGGCACCGCTCATCACCGGTCAATACCATCCCTACGGTGAAGCATGGTGGTGGCAGCATCATGCTGTGGGGATGTGTTTCAGCGGCAGGGACTGGGAGACTAGTCAGAATCGAGGCAAAGATGAACAGAGCCAAGTACAGAGAGATCCTAGATGAAAACCTGCTCCAGAGCGCTCAGGACCTCAGACTGGGGGCGAAGGGTCACCTTCCAACAGGACAACGACCCTAAGCACACAGCCAAAACAATACAGGAGTGGCTTCGGGACAAGTCTCTGAATGTCCTTGAGTGGCCCAGCCAGAGCCCGGACTTGAACCCGATCTAACGTCTCTGGAGAGACCTGAAAATAGCTGTGCAGCGACGCTCCCCATCCAACCTAACAGAGCATAAGAGGATCTGCAGAGAAGAATGGGAGAAACTCCCCAAATACAGGTGTGCCAAGCTTGTAGCGTCATACCCAAGAAGACGCAAGGCTTTTATCACTGCCAAAGGTGCTTCAACAAAGTACTGAGTAAAGGGTCTGAATACTAAAGTAAATGTAATATTTCCTTTTTTTTGTTTTGTTTATAAATTAGCAAAAATTTATAAAAACCTGTTTTTGCTTTGTCATTATGGGGTATTGTGCGTAGATTGATGAGAAAAACAACAACAATTTAATCAATTTTAGAATAAGGCTGTAACGTAACAATATGTGAAAAAGTCAAGGGGTCTGAATACTTTCCGAATGCACTGTATGTTAGCAGAAGTTCAATAGTATCATAAGGAGACATATACTTGGAATAAGGAGGATGAATGGAGGGAAAAACAGAGGCGGAGGAGGTCGAAGAGAGTGAGGGAGGTAGAGGGTGAGCTTGAATCGGTTGAAGATGGCAGAAAAAAGGATGGAAGTGAATGAGGGCGAATTATCGGAGGTGGTAGATCTGGTGAAGATCTCGGAGCCCGAGGCTTGCACCGATGGTCAGGATAAAGATGAGTCTGTGACGGTAGGACTGAAAGTGGGTAAGCTCTGGCCATCGTCTTTCAGCTCTAAAAGTGGATTTCTAATGGTGTGGGCGTTTAAGCTGTCCCAGTTTATATGATGTCCCACTCTTTTCAATTTCACCATATATTGAAATCTAAAACCTCAAGATCTCTTTGTTCCTGGGTATTACTGATAATGGATTTCCTTAGATAGTGAGGCTTGTTCCTCGAAATAAAATTATCAAGAATATTTTCTAAATCCTTTACAAGTCAAGCGATAATGAGACATAATCCACTGAAAAGGTTTGAGTTGAGTGTTTACACAGGCAGCCCAATTCTGATATATTGTTTCCACTAATTGGTCTTTTGACCAAACACAAAATATATTTTCAGGTCAGTGCTTTTTCAGAGCTGATCTGATTTGTTACAATACCATTTAGTGAAAAAAATTGGGCTGCCTGTGTGAAAGCAGCCTTTAAGACAGTGACGTTGGATGAGGGGCAGGGCTTCATCAGATCATGCTAATGATTTATATATACTTGATGACTGATAGGGGGCGCTGTGTTGAAGCCCCCGCGCCTCCATCTTGGCACTCCCTCACCAATGTAAAACATATTTTGGAAGCTATAGAAATGCATACTTCTAAATTATAATATGTGAACTAAACATACAAATTAAACATGAAAACATATATAAAAACATTTTCCCTAAAGTATAATTACAAACTACTAATGTTACTGTCCCTCCCCCCCCCAAAAAGAAAGAAATACATGTAATTTTGTACATGAAACATTTAATTTAAATACTGTAGAATTTCATTCATTCTTATGGAGGACTGCGCCTACTAGGGGGACGCTTCAAAGCCTGTCAATGGCCAATACATAGCATCAGCAATCCAGGGATTATATACATAATTGCATCACACTCACGCTCGACTCAGACCAAATTTTAACCCTAATTTTAACCACACTGCTAACCGTTAATTTTTACTTTGTGGCTGTGATAACTAGTGGAAACCCCACAACGAGGGCATCGCTAGGAAACTACGGCACGTGTGGGCGGGTTCACGATTATTTTTTGGGGTGTAACCCTGATGGTACATAAGCAGGTTGAATTACAATTTCTAGGTCTATGTTGCGGTGGGTTCGCTGAGGTGTAATAAGAACGGGTGGGTTACCGTGAGTTTAGTGCATATTATCCTGCATGTGAATTGAGAGTAAATCAGGGCATTAGTTGTGATATGTCAGGCAGTCATCGAATGAGGTGTCACCTGATGCCTACAGTAAGATAGCACACGTCGAAGGCTAAAGCTAGTACTAGCAATATCATTGTGTTTCATAAGGAAATTTAGTTGTCGGGATTGTCTGTAGCCTATTTGGCTTAGACATTTTAGTCGTGCGCCTATTATACATTTCCTGCTATAGGCTTTGTTCATAATATTCAGTATTATCCTACTGATTTATTCTGATATAAGGTTATGTATTGTCACATTTAGCTTATTAATTAATGTGTAAATTCGACTAATATTATATGTTAGTAAGTGGCATAATAGCCCATAAAAACGTAATTGAAATTATTGGTGAGAGTTAGACTACTACACTTTAAAATGGAAGTGGGGTCCGAAAAGACATCATCCACCACCAAACTATCCATTCGCCATGGGGTCTTCAAAGAGGAGACTGATATTGCTCTGAAAGCACCCTTATACGTAGATGCTATGTTACCAAAGAAAGTGGAGCACGCGAAAGCAGAAAGAGCCACCTGGGGTCGCCGCCTTGAGTTCGTCCTCGCGTCGGTGGGGTACGCGGTGGGACTTGGGAACGTGTGGCGCTTTCCATACCTCTGCTACAGGAGCGGTGGAGGTAAGCATGTGTATGTGGAAGTATTAAAGCAGAATGCAGGAATATTTTTTCGGTTTGTTTAATTTAGAAACCAGTCTAATTATTGAACCATATTTGGCACATGTCATACATTCTCTTCAGCTGAGCATGGTCACATGAAGTTTGCAATTCTGTATGCAACAACAACAAAAAAAGTTTTATTGCAACATACACAGGATAGGTGCAGTGAAATGTGTTGTTTTACAGGGTCAGCCATAGTAGTATAGAACCCCTGCAGCAAATTAGGATTACGTGCCTTGCTCAAGGGCACATCAACAGACTTTTCACTTTGTAGGCTCGGGTATTCAAACCAGTGACCTTTCGGTTACTGGACCAACACTCTAACAGCTAGGCTACCTGCCGCCAGTTATGAGCCACCTGTGATGTAGCCTACATAAACTTTATGAGCCACTTGTGATGTATGTGCCTTTTGGTTGAACAATAGCCTCACTAATTAAAAACAGAGAAATGTTTTCACAATGCAATAACAGGGTTGCTTTCAGAATAAAGATAATGTGTTAATTGATGTTGGATGTTTGTTTCTAGATGAAGATGTATGACGTTTTTCTTACTTGCTGATTTAATCTTACTTGCATGCCTTTATAGAATAGGATTGAGCTAAACTAAGCCATATGGATACTGTTTTTAATAAAAAGTTGAAATCCAAGTGGAACTCAATGATTCTGTCTGCCCAATCCTCTGAAATACACCTCAAAGTAAGACTTTCAGGTTGAGATTAACGTTAAGATGTTATGAATATGAATTGGACTTCTTGAAGGAGCCAGGAGCCACAGGTTTTGCATGATTTGTTTAAAGGCCCAATGGAGCAGTTTAAAACAAATCTCAATATCAAATCATTTATGGGCAACAATGAAGTACCTTACTGTGATTTATTTTTTAATTAAAATTGTAAAAAAGAAACATAGCTTCTTAGCAAAGGGCAATTTCACAAGCAAGAATTTTGCTAGGACTGTCTGGGAGTGGTCTGAGTGGGGAGGGGAAAACTGAAAACTAGCTGTTATTGGCAGAGGTTTGGAACTCTTGTTCTTATTGGTATATTAACGAATGAACTGCCAGAGGCAGGCCAAAACTCCATCCCACCAAAACAGGTTGACATTTCAGGCAGTCTTTTAGAACAGCTCTTACACTATAATGATATTATCATTTTCACAGTATTATTCAAACCACATAGGTGGAAATATATATAAAACATAGGAAAATCACGTTTTTGACTGCACTGGGCCTTTAATGTTGCATCATCATCATGACTGTATTGCCTTGGCTTACATCTGGCACAGTTGAGATCTAGCTGAGATCTAGGCATGTGTAGAATGACTCAGCAAAACATCAAAGACCTTCCCAAACAACAGACACTGATGATTATGTGTTCTGTTGTATTTCCTCGTTACTAGTTTACTTCCTCTCCTGCTTTGCCACGGACCTCACTGTATAACAGAAATGTGCTAACTTGACAGATACCATCACACTGGTTTGCTCAGGCACTTAGAAGGCACTACATTCATCTGGCATTCATTCACATCTCAGATTTATGTAGCGGACATAAATTGGACTTATGCTCTTGAAGGGGAATTGCCTCTTGGTCTAATGGTCAAGATGTATGTTTCTCCTGTGAGGGACCAGGATTCAGATCCTGTCTGTGACAACTACAATGAGGGGCCTGTAACTCATTCCCTCACCCGAGAGCTTAAAACAAGTATACTGAAGGACATTTCTAGTCCAAGTTTAGGGAAGTAAGACTGTCTGTCTTGGTTTTATTTTAGTAAGACACACCATGTGTTGCCTATTCATCCTCCTTGGTGTTAAGCTAGCTGTCATGGTAATTACCATATATGACTGTTTCCTGGGCTAGCAGTCCAGACCTCTATCCAGTTACTGAAGGAGGGTGGGTCAGCTCTGTAAACAGAGATGCTGTGTTAGTGGTAGTAGTAGACAATGGTTGGTGATGGTGCACTGCATGGGTCGAGTTTCAATTGAATTGAACCAACATTGAGAGTTCATCGTTTCATGTATTTGAGTGCTAGAAAATAAACAGGTGTACATTTGTCAATGCTCTTAAGTTTTTACTCTAATCTGATGTGCTTTCTAACCTGGTCCTTTATGTCTTCTCTAAACCAATGATCACTACTGGGTAGGGCTGGGAATTGCCAGGGACCTCACGATACGATATTATCACGATACTTAGGTGCAGGTATGATTATGTATTGGGATTTTCACGATTCTATATGTATTGAGATTTGATATTGCGACTTGATGTTCCAAACACATTGTTCACTATATATCTGCAGCAGAAAGACGAGAGCATGAGATCAGTCAGGGAAATAAGTGCTGAAAAAATGTTGGCTCACTATTTAAAAATAAAATGGAGAACAAGCTATAGGATGAAAAATACCAGAGTTTTGGCACAAGTATAGCAGACTAGCGCCAGCTAACGCTACCTACAGTAGCAAAAACAAAAATCGATAATTGGAGTCAAATATCAATATTATATCATCCAAACATAATATTGCGATATATAACTATATCGACTCTCCCCTTCCCCCATCACTACTATTGGGTCACTTTTCTAACTAGCACTTGTTGAACAGATCCATGGCACTGCTGTACAGGACACCCCCAGCAGCGCCTGCAAGCCGGAGGGCCCACGAGCTCTGGGGGCCCATGCGGTTGTCATCGATGTCTATTTTTTACATTGTAGAATAATAGTGAAGACATCAAAACTATGAAATAACACATATGGAATCATGTAGTAACCAAAAAAGTGTTAAACAAATCAAAATATATGTTATATTTGAGATTCTTCAAAGTAGCCACCCTTTGCCTTGATGACAGCTTTGCACACTATTGGCATTCTCTCAACCAGATTCATGAGGTAGTCACCTGGAATGCATTTTAATTAACAGGTGTACCTTGTTAAAAGTTAATTTGTGGAATTTCTTTCTTTCTTAATGCGTTTGAGCCAATCAGTTGTGTTGTGACAATTTCAAGAACTTTGAAAGTTTCTTCAAGTGCAGTTGCAAAAACCATCAAGCTCCGATGAAACTGGCTCTCATGAGGACCGCCACAGGAAAGGAAGACCCAGAGTTACCTCTGCTGTAGAGGATAAGTTCATTAGAGTTACCAGCCTCAGAAATTGCAGCCCAAATAAATGCTTCCCAGAGTTAAAGTAACAGACACATCTCAACATCAACTGTTCAGAGGAGACTGCGTGAATCAGGCCTTCATGGTCGAATTGCTGCAAAGAAACCACTACAAAAGGACACCAATAAGAAGAAGAGACTTGCTTGGGCCAAGAAACACGAGCAATGGACATTAGACTGGTGGAAATCTGTCCTTTGGTCTGGAGTCCAAATTAGAGATTTTTGGTTCCAACCGCTGTGTCTTTTGTGAGACGCAGTGTAGGTGAACGGATGATCTCTGCATGTGTAGTTCCCACCGTGAAGCATGGAGGAGGAGGTGTGATGGTGTGGGGGTGCTTTGCTAGTGACACTGTCAGTGATTTATTTTGAATTCAAGGCACACTTAACCAGCATGGTAACCACAGCATTCTGCAGCGATACGCCGTCTCATCTGGTTTGGGCTTAGTGGGACAATCATTTTGTTTTTCAACAGGACAGTGACCCAACATACCGCCACCTCTATTTGACCAAGAAGGAGCGTGATGGAGTGCTGCATCAGATGACCTGGCCTCCGCAATCCCCCGACCTCAACCCAATTGAGATGGTTTGGGATGAGTTGGACTGCAGAGTGAAGGAAAAGCAGCCAACAAGTGCTTAGATATGTGGGAACTCCTTCAAGACTGTTGGAAAAGCATCCCAGGTGAAGCTGGTTGAGAGAATGCCAAGAGTGTGTAAAGCTGTCATCAAGGCAAAGGGTGGCTACTTTGAAGAATCTAAAATCTAAAATATATTTTGATTTGTTTAAAAACTTTTTTGGTTACTAGATGATTCCATATATGTCATTTCATAGTTTTGATGTCTTCACTATTATTCTACAATGTAAAAAATAGTTAAAAATAAAGAAAAACCCTTGAATGAGTAGGTGTGTCCAAACCTTTGACTGATACTGTACATGGAAGTTAAGTGTTTGTTTCTTGGGCCTCAGGCCTTGAAAAATACAAAATTAAACTGATTGAAAGTATAAGGGGCTATCAGTGAACAAATGCTGTGGTCAGGGCTACGACGGCACAAGTGCAATGAGTGGAGCTTACTCAGGTGTTCAAAAGCACATATCAGACCGAGAGCCTAATGCTTCTTAACTAGTTATTGATGAGTTTTAGTTTAGAAAACGATCTCTCCGCAGAAGCAACAGCTACAGGGAAGGTAAAAACAGCTTGATTGCCGTTGCAACATCAGGGAAACTGGGCATAAGATTGGTGCTTCAAGTACAGCAGTTCTGCACCATCTTTAATTGAGCCTCTCACTCCTTAATTACCGGCTTCAGCACATTACGGAAAGAGATGAACTATATACGAAGCTCTGGGGACAGGTCGTCTGGATACTGGACAGCCAATAAATTGTCAGATGCAAACTGATTCTCATCTTTAGCGGACAACTGGTCTTGAGGGCTTGAACAAAAAAAAGTGGTTTGCGATTTTGTTCATACTGGTGAACTGGTGTTTGAGTTGTGTGGTTGCAATATCAACAGTCCGTTATCTCTGGTATACAGTGCATTCAGAAAGTATTCAGACACCTTGACTTCTTCCACATTTTGTTACGTTACAGCCTTATTCTAAAATGGATTACATTGTTTTTTCCCCTTCATCAATCTACTCACAGTACCCCATAATGACAAAGCAAAAACTGGTTTTTAGAAATGTTTGCAAATGTATTAAAAATAAAAAACGGAAATATCACATTTACATACACTACCGTTCAAAAGTTTGGGGTCACTTAGAAATGTCCTTGTTTTCGAAAGAAAAGCAAAATAAAATTATCTTGCTGATTCTCCAGATACTCAACTAGTCTCAAGAAGGCCAGTTTTATTGCTTCTTTAATCAGCACAACAGTTTTCAGCTGTGCTAACATAATTGCAAAAGGGTTTTCTAATGATCAATTAGCCTTTTAAAATGATAAACTTGGATTAGCAAACACAACGTGCCATTGGAACACAGGACTGATGGTTGCTGATAATGGGCCTCTGTACGCCTATGTAGATATTCCATTAAAAATCTGCCGTTTCCAGCTACAATAGCCATTTACAACATTAACAATGTCTACACTGTATTTCTGATCAATTTGATGTTATTTTAATGTCATTTCTAAGTGACCCCAAACTTTTGAATGGTAGTGTAAGTATTCAGACTCTTTACTCAGAACTTTGTTGAAGCACCTTTGGCAGCAATTTACAGCCTCTAGCCTTCTTGGGTATGACGCTACAAGCTTGGCACACCTGTATTTGGGGAGTTTCTCCCATCTTCTCTGCAGATCCTCTCAAGCTCTGTCAGATTGGATGGGGAGCGTCGCTGCACAGCTATTTTCAGGTCTCTCCAGAGATGTTCGATCGGGTTCAAGTCCGGGCTCTGGCTGGGGCTCTCAAGGACATTCAGAGACTTGTCCCGAAGCCACTCCTGCGTTGTCTTGGCTGTGTGCTTAGGGTCGTTGTCCTGTTGGAAGGAGAACCTTCGCCCCAGTCTGAGGTCGTCTCTCTGTACTTTGCTCCGTTCATCTTTCCCTCGATCCTGACTAGTCTCACAGTCCCTGCAACTGAAAAACATCCCCACAGCATGATGCTACCACCACCATGCTTCACCGTAAGGATGGTGCCAGGTTTCCTCCAGACGTGACACTTGGCATTCAGGCCAAAGAGTTCAATCTTGGTTTCGTCAGACCAGAGAATTTTGTTTCTCATGGTCAGAGTCCTTTAGGTGCCTTTTGGCAAACTCCAAGCGGGCTGTCATGTGCCTTTTTTAGTGAGGAGTGGCTTCCGTCCGGCCACTCTACCATAAAGGCCTGATTGGTGGAGGGCTGCAGAGATGGTTGTCCTTCTGGAAGTTTCTCCCATCTCCACAGAGGAACTCTAGAGCTCTGTCACCTCCCTGACCAAGGCCGTTCTCCCCCGATTGCTCAGTTTGGCCAGGCGGCCAGCTCTAGGAAGAATCTTGGTGGTTCCAAACTTCTTCCATTTAAGAATGATGGAGGCCACTGTGTTCTTGGGGACCTTCAATGCTGCAGAAATGTTTTGGTACCCTTCCCCAGATCTGTGCCTCACTACAATCCTGTCTCCGAGCTCTACGGACAATTCCTTCTACCTCATGGCTTGGTTTTTGCTCTGATATGCACTTAACTGTGGGACCTTATATAGACAGGTGTGTGCCTTTCCAAATCTCATAGCAAAGGGTCTGTATACTTATGTAAATAAGGTATTTCAGTGTGTGTTTTTTTTATACATTTGCAAAAACTTCTAAACCTGTTTTCACTTTGTCATTATGGGGTATTGTGTGTAGATTGAGGGAAAACAATCATTTAATCTATTTTAGAATAAGGCTGTAAAGTTACGAAAAGGGAAGGGATCTTAATACTTTCCAAATGCACAGTATCTTGGCATGCATTATTCATGACTAAGTTTAAGTTGTGTGCAGCACAATGGACCTACAGGCCGTAGTGAAAACATTTGCACACAAAAAAGGAGGACTTCAGGAGACCAGGGGAGTCTCTCATGTTGGATATAATTTGATTTAATTGAATTTACCTTGAATATTGCAGCCCATTTGTCTAGGCTATTAGCCAGACAAAATCCGCTGAGTTCAACAAATGAATTTATCCTCAAGCCGACTACTTTTTTTTCCTCATTGTTTGGCAATGTGATGTCATTTTTATATAAAAAAGTGTATAAATAGCAGCTAACTACCATATATAGCTATAGATAGTACACTGCAGAATGAAACAATCCCCAGGAAGCTAGTGTTTTGAGGGTGGACTGACTGTATTATTTGGCATTAATAGACTGGTTTTACGCACAACAACTTTCTATCCAAGCTGGGAGAGAGTGCGAGGACAGCTCATGTCATGCAGGTTAAGGTAGCATATACAGGACAGTTTTATATATATAAAAAACATCTGTTGGTAGCCGATTAGTATGTTGTTGCATCAAACATTTATTTTACATTCCGCAAAGTTTGAATTTCCAACGTACATTATTGCCACCAGCCAGCAATGTGCGACACCGTGTATAGCTTTGTGAAATGTTAGGCTTAACAAACTCCGACCTTGCGGGGGTCCAGAGAAACTGCAAATAAAACAAGTTTAAGTTTAATTTTGAAAACTCCTTGTGTTACTAATCTATTTGGCTCCATATCTCCCTTCGTTTAGGTGCCTTTCTCATTCCTTACTTTCTCATGCTGTTTCTGTGTGGCATCCCCCTGCTCTTCATGGAGTTTGCTATTGGGCAGTACACCCGTCTGGGACCAGTGCATGCTCTAGCCAAAATCTGCCCCTTGTTCAAAGGTGAGTGATATCCACAGGCCTATGGTTCCCAAGGCCTCACACATGTTTAGCCTTTATCCACCATTTTCTGTTGGTTTTAGTCAACCTGGAACAGTCCAGCAAAGAGGCAATGATGATTTAATGAGTGCATATGTACAGTAGGCCTACTTGGCACAGGTAAAGGGATTAACACGTGGAGGCTTAGGTTGCTACTTTGTTCAAAAGGGGAAGGGTTTAATAAACTGTCTGTTATCAGGTTCCGGTGTTACTCGACAATGTAATTTGACTCGAAATTGGCTTTAAACAATAGGCTACATCTTTGTTGACATGTTATCAAATATTTAGACTTTACACATGAATAGCCGATTGGGTTTATACTAAGTGTTCACAGAATAAAATAATAGAAAGATTTATGCAATTAACTGCCACTCATAAGTATTTACACTATACCACCCATGCAATAATTACACACCATTACTTTCACCCTCAAGAGTTCTTCACTAAATAACTTTTTTTCAAAAACAAGGTGTACCCTGTTTAGCTTTCATTTAAGGGCTCCTTCCCACATGTTAGAGACTCCTGCCCATGTGCTACAAGTTATAAAAGGAATGGCCCTTGTACAAACATAGTCCTTTAGAAATAAGATGTTTCTTAAAAGGTGTGCTTGTTCACAGTATTTCAGGTCATCTGTCACAAGTTCAGTTTCATACCTACTGTTCATGGGTAACACTTTATGAGTCATACATAAACTATCCAGTACACATAGTGTATGATGGATTATTTTTAAATGAACTATTTAAAAACGTCTTTATTAGTATGGACAAAGCCAAAATCATTGTTGTAAATTGTTATGGAGGTTTATCACACGTCATCATATGTTATACGTTTTATTTTGTGTTAATGTTGATCTGAAAATATTATTTATGCCACTAGAAATTAAACATTACCAATAATGTACATAGTAATATGTAACAGACCCATCCTTATAGACAAACTAAGGGCTGTGTTGCTAACGTGCAGAGAATTGTGATGGATTGTATCGAGTAATTCTTTAAAGTTTATTTTGGTTAGATTAGCATGGTTTGCATCTGTTATGTTCTGTAGTGAATAATAATAAAAAGTAAAGGAGCTGATACTTTTCATTCATAAAATCATATTCCTTCTCTTAACCTCAGGTTCTTTGTTTTATGTTTCAGGCCCCTCTGAAAAGAACAGGTGCAAATGCTTAGTAATACAGAGTAAAATTCACATTTGTGAGATTTCCAAATGTTTTATCCGTGACAATTAACTGTTGGCCAGTCTTCTTTCCATCCAGTTAAATAGTACACTGACACGATGTTTGCCCATTTTGGCTTCACTTCACAGTGAAAGGCGTGATCCTATGATGTGGGCCTAATTAGTTAAAAAGGAAACCTGTCGTGTGTGTGTGTGTATTTATGCCCAGTTTGGTTTGGTATTATAAGGTGACGTGTTGATAAACAGGAATCCAAGTACACAGGTTAAAAAACATAGAATGAACCTGCCCACTGGGCACAAACTGGTTGAATCAACGTTGTTTCGATGTAATTTGTCAATGTATTGTGACGTGTAATCCACATGGAAAATACATTGGATTTGAAAAAAGTAATTAACTATTTTGAGGGTGAAATTTTAACCACAGGATTATGTCATCATTGTAGTCAAGTTTCTACAAAGACAAACCTTGTATAAAATATGTTGAATTTGTACCTTTAAAACAATGTCAAATCTTCAACGTTATATCCGCTATCAAAAAAAAACTATAGGCTGGGTAGCACCTCCTACTGGAGAATTGATTTGTTTACAGCTACTCTCTGGTCTCACATCCGGGTTTTAACAAGGCCCAGCCATGATATTTTTCACTGACTATTACCAATGTGCTATTTTGAGAATGATTGTTGTGAAATCTCCACATATGAGGTATTGTATGTAGGCCAGTGACCCCAAAAATCAAAGTTCCATCTGTGCCTCTGACAGTCTGCCTTGAATCGAATGTATTAATTATTAATTTGTAGACAAAATGGAATTCATGTCTCCAGCTCAACCAAACATCAATGTTAAAAAATCGGACTAAAATACATCAAACTTTATTTGTTTAAAGTGCATTTAAAGTTTGATTTAGATTTAGTCCTATTTTTTTAACTTTGATTTTTGGTTGACGTGAATCCAACATATCAGTTATTCATTTGTAGACTAACTGGAATTAAAGCCAGACTAAATCAGTGGCACAGATGGAACTATCCAAGCAGAAGATAAATCTCCTTCAAATGTTGATATTTGGTTGCATTGACGACCAAACCCAATAAATAGCCTATTAGCTTATCGACAAGTTAAGAAATTATATGTTAAATTCACATCTCCAACTCAACCAAATATACAAGTTAAAAAATGGGATTAAGCCAGTGACTCCATTAAATGTTAATATTTGTTTGTGTTGTCAACCAAACACAATTCAATATTGTTTTTGTAATACAGTAAATAGCCTAAAGTTAAGGCTATCTTAATGTAACACTCAACCTTAAAATTAGTAACACATCCATGGCCACATTTTGAGTTTACTGTAACTATACATTTCTTCTTATGTAATCATATAAAGCGTACATGTTACATTTTACATTTACATTTTAGTCATTTAGCAGACGCTCTTATCCAGAGCGACTTACAGTTAGTGAATACATATTTTTTTTATACTGGCCCCCCGTGGGAATCGAACCCACAACCCTGGCGTTGCAAACGCCATGCTCTATCAACTGAGCTACATCCCTGCCGGCCATTCCCTCCCCTACCCTGGACGACGCTGGGCCAATTGTGCGCCGCCCATGAGTCTCCCGGTCGCGGCCGGCTTCAACATAGCATGCATAGATTGTTTTAGGTCTGGGGAGATGCACCATGTACTTTTAATGTAATCTCAACTGCGATCCAGATAATTTGGTTCTGCTATTAGATAACACATTAATCTGTTGTATAAATAAACAAAATATCTTACGTTGTATTCCCAGTTGAACCTTGTTGTGCTTTTTAAATGGTTGAAAGCGCATTGATAGATAGTTGGGTGACAACTAAACACAAAATCTGACATAGTTTTTCCATTGGAAATTGGTTGTGCGTCTTAGATGGTTGAAAGCATAGTGATAACACATTGGAAATTCAACTAACTTTTGGCTGTCTTTTTGAGTGGGTTAATATAGGTTGTAATCTCATTTATCAACGTCTCAACCAAATACAGTGGGGGGAAAAAAGTATTTAGTCAGCCACCAATTGTGCAAGTTCTCCCACTTAAAAAGATGAGAGAGGCCTGTAATTTTCATCATAGGTACACGTCAACTATGACAGAGAAATTGAGGAAAAAAAATCCAGAAAATCACATTGTAGGATTTTTTATGAATTTATTTGCAAATTATGGTGGAAAATAAGTATTTGGTCACCTACAAACAAGCAAGATTTCTGGCTCTCACAGACCTGTAACTTCTTCTTTAAGAGGCTCCTCTGTCCTCCACTCGTTACCTGTATTAATGGCACCTGTTTGAACTTGTTATCAGTATAAAAGACACCTGTCCACAACCTCAGTCACACTCCAATGACTGATCCGTGTAAAGGAAAGAATGAATGGGGCCATGTATCGTGAGATTTTGAGTGAAAACCTCCTTCCATCAGCAAGGGCATTGAAGATGAAACGTGGCTTGGTCTTTCAGCATGACAATGATCCCAAACACACCGCCCGGGCAACGAAGGAGTGGCTTCGTAAGAAGCATTTCAAGGTCCTGGAATGGCCTAGCCAGTCTCCAGATCTCAACCCCATAGAAAATCTTTGGAGGGAGTTGAAAGTCCGTGTTGCCCAGCGACAGCCCCAAAACATCACTGCTCTAGAGGAGATCTGCATGGAGGAATGGGCCAAAATACCAGCAACAGTGTGTGAAAACCTTGTGAAGACTTACAGAAAACGTTTGACCTGTGTCATTGCCAACAAAGGGTATATAACAAAGTATTGAGAAACTTTTGTTATTGACCAAATACTTATTTTCCACCATAATTTGCAAATAAATTCATTAATCATCCTACAATGTGATTTTCTGGGGGAAAAAATCCTCATTTTGTCTGTCATAGTTGACGTGTACCTATGATGAAAATTACAGGCCTCTCTCATCTTTTTAAGTGGGAGAACTTGCACAATTGGTGGCTGACTAAATACTTTTTTCCCCCACTGTATTACCCAATTATCCACTTTGAAATGATGTGGTGTGCCCAGTGGGTTGTCCTTAAATTCAGGTCAAGAAGTTGGAATGCAAGTTAATGTTTGATATATCAACAGTACATTTTATGGCATTGGCATCAGTATCATCAATTATTAGAACAATGTCAAAAGAAGTAACAACAATGCAGTGGTTTTCTTCTTAGAGGGTTAAGTGGTTTAAACATGTTGCACGAAGGACCACTTGAAAGCAGTTTGCTGTTTAGGGTGACAATGTACAAACAAATAAGACCAGCCACAAATTGTTTATTAACAGTGAATAATAATTTAGCACAACATTTTCAGATTATACTGTAGTTCCACTTCACTTTAAACTATTTGTCATGATAGAATTTTGCTATGCCTGAAATGTCATGGTACCTTTTCTGATCATTCTGAATTGTTCATGCAGGTTTGAGACAAATTACATTATTCTGTTACCTTGACACATCCAGCATTATGTTATCCAACCTAATCTCTGAATGTGTAATTATAATCATGTTTTTATGAGCTGACATAAACTGTTATGAATGGGCATTACAGGTGCCTTGTTTTCCATATTTCTTACTTGCTTCATGGCAGATCATTGAAGTGGTGTTTTTATGTTCATAGTAGTTATTGTAGGGTGGCTTCTGTCAAAATATCTTTCACACCTCGTTGATTGATGAGGGGTGGGACTTCCGCCATGATTTATGAGGGGGGCGTGTCCAGAGGTAATCAAATTAGGTAATTAAATGGGAGAACCAAGTGGTTTCACCCATGGGGACATATTTGGGAGGTTGGTAATTATGTTAATTAAGACTCTATAAGTTAGAATGAATTAGGTTTGTGTGTGTGTTGTCTGTGATTAATGTCTGTTTATATCATATGACATAATGTCAGGTAGAACTTGACCC